TCGAACACATACACACTGGCACGTTTTGAACTCATTGTCTCATCCTTCAGGGCTTAAGAAGTCAAATAAACAGCAGAGGAATACGGAGATGGTTGCAAGAATTTTGCCTTACTTGACTTACGGAGAATCTGCAGCCATGGATGTTCTCGTCCAGCACTTTGACCCATACTTGCAGGATTGGAGCGAGTTTGACCGGTTACAAAAGCAATACGAAGACAATCCTAAGGATGAAAAGACGGCTCAACAAGCAGCCAAACAGAAATTTGCGCTGGAGAATTTTGTGAGGGTCTCTGAATCACTTAAGACGAGTTCTTGTGGTGAGAGATTGAAGGATATAATATTGGAGAAAGGGATTACTGCAGTTGCTGTGAGACACTTGAAGACATGTTTTGCATGCACGGGACAGCCTGGGTTTAAATCAACTGCAGACTGGGCATCTGGATTGAAATTGTCTTCTGTTCCCCTGATACTCTCTATGCTGAGGGGGCTATCAATGGGTCACTTGGCCACTCAAAGGTGTATCGATGAGGAAGGAATTTTGCCTTTGCTTCATGCCTTAGAGAGTGTCTCAGGTGAAAATGAGATTGGTGCAAAGGCTGAAAACTTGCTGGACACCCTTACTGATAAGGAAGGAACCGATAATGGATTCTTAACAGAAAAAGTTCGCCAACTACGACATGCAACACGTGATGAGATGAGGCGTAGAGCTCTGAAGAAAAGAGAGCAGTTGCTTCAGGTACTCTTGTTCTTCCGAAATTTATATACATCTTACCTTATTTGCTACTAACCTTTTGAGAGATGAAAAAAATTCTCACTCCAGTTTTTTAACATGAAATGTTGCTTAGAAGTTTGTCGATATTATTTTTACCAACTGAGCTTATCGTAATTATACTTTCCTATATCAGCTTTATGAACTTGTGTAATAAATGTCTTGAGGCATGCATGACTGAGGAATTTTTGCCTGATCTGCTACTTTATGATTGAAGGGACTTGGAATGCGGCAAGAACTTACCTCAGATGGAGGTGAGCGAATCGTTGTTTCACAACCTGTCCTCGAAGGATTCGAAGATGTCGAAGACGAGGAAGATGGGCTAGCTTGCATGGTTTGCCGAGAGGGTTACCGATTGAGATCCACTGATTTGTTGGGGGCCTACACTTACAGCAAGCGTGTCAACTTGGGTGTTGGAAGCTCGGGGAATGCCCGTGGAGATTGCGTTTACACAACTGTCAGCCATTTCAACATCATACATTTCCAGTGCCATCAAGAGGCTAAAAGAGCCGACGCTGCTTTAAAAAATCCAAAGAAGGAATGGGATGGAGCTGCCCTTAGAAACAACGAAACCCTCTGCAACAACTTATTCCCCCTAAGAGGCCCCACTGTTCCTATCGGACAATACATACGTTACGTCGACCAGTACTGGGACTATCTCAACTCTCTGGGGCGTGCAGATGGAAGCCGACTGCGTTTATTGACTTACGACATCGTTTTGGTACGCTCCTCTTAATTTGTTTCCGAAGCAAACAAAATGTTCTTGTTATTGTATCTGACATTGACAATGTTACTATTTGTACTTGGGACAGATGCTAGCTCGGTTTGCCACAGGTGCATCGTTTAGTGCGGATAGCAGAGGTGGTGGGAAAGAAAGCAATTCAAAATTCTTACCTTTCATGATACAGATGGCACGACACCTTCTAGATCAGGACTCTTCACAACGAAACAATCTTGCTAAAACGATTGCAACTTACTTGTCTTCCTCTACACTAGAGTCAAAAGCCTCGACTTCTCCCAGTACTCAGCCACCTTCTAGTGGAGACGAAACTATCCAATTCATGATGGTGAGCTCGCTCCTTTCGGAATCTTACGACTCTTGGTTGAAGCATCGACGGGCCTTCTTGCAGAGAGGAATATACCACGCTTACATGCAGAAGCACGGGCGCTCTCTGCACCGAACCACCCCTAATGTATTGGGAAGCACTTCTGTAGATAGTGGTGGATCTGATGAACTATTCTCGACTATACAGCCTATGCTTGTTTACACCGGCTTGATCGAGCAGCTTCAGTGCTATTTCAAGGTGGGGAAATCTTCGACAGTGGTGGACCAAATTCGAGAAAGCGGAGACGAGAGCAAGAAGTTGGAAGCTTGGGAGATTTTGATGAAAGAGAGATTGTTGAACGTGAAAGATATGGTGGCTTTCTCGAAGGAGCTGCTCACGTGGCTTGATGACATGACTTCGGCTAATGATTTGCAGGAGTCTTTTGATGTTATTGGTGCTTTGTCAGATGTTTTGGCTTCTGGACACACGAGGTGTGAGGATTTCGTATATGCTTCTATCAATTTAGGGAAAAGCTAATTCTTGATGGCAACTTTTTTTTTTCCTTTTTCTTTTTTGGTTGTATTTGTCACTGTAATGGTGCAGACATTTGGAAATGCTTAGTGATGTATGTATTTATTGTACATGTAATGTATTGTTTGACGTTGTATCTATAATTGTTGCTAAGCAAGAGGAAGGATATGTTTCGTGATGAAACAATAAATTTTGCATAAACATTTTAAGTTATTTTTCGACGTTTTGGGTTTATTCTTTGACCAAATATAATGCTGTAGAGTTGTACACTTTTTTTTCTTCAGCGAGACGAGATGTTAAAAATAGGTGGTTTTCGCCTTTTCGGTATGTGATTATGTTACTCTCTGCGCATCTTATGGACGCCGTAAATAACAGTTACTATTACTGTTCTTATTCATTGCATCTGAAATCTGGTCGGTGTCTACAGCAGCTTCCACTCTCGTGTTCGTTACAAATAAACGGAGTCACCATTATTATTATTATTATTGTTATTATGTAATTAACTTCATCTGTTATGTAGGTATGGTCCAATATTGCCAGCTGTGATTATTATTGCTCCACAAGTTTATCACTGCATATAGAAATTATTATGTGTGTGGGGAGTGGGGTTGGGAGGGAGGGATTCATCAATGCTTATATGCATGCATACAGGTTTTACAGTCAATAATTAGAAAGTATTTGGAACTTAAATTTGATCTTTTATTTGTCTACATTGTAAAAAAAATATACCTGGCTGCTCGATTTAAGATCTATAATGAAGTTGATCTGATTTTGGTGCTGAGCAATCACTTTCATTTTCCTACCACACAACTCTTGTTGCCCTATGTGTATTTTCAAACAAGTCATTTTAAGTGCGGCACTACACTACACATTCTTGAAATAAATCACATTTTCACCTTTCACCATTTCATTTCACTTTCCAGTACCAATCAATTAAGTTCACTATGACTAAAATGGACAATTTCAAGTCGTTTCATCATTTTTACCTGCCTCTCTCTCTCTCTCTCTCTCTCTCTCTCTCTCTCTCTCTCTCTCTCTCTCTCTCTCTCTCTCTCTCTCTCTCTCTCTCTCTCTCTCTCTCTGTTTGTGTGTGTGTGTGTGTGTGCCCGTATTGTGGGACCACAATAGGCGAACAGCTCGAGATTTCTCGAACTAGAGTAACAAACTTGATAAAAATGGCAAATTTTAGGGATACCATATGTAATAATAAATTTCATCATTCTAAGAATAAATTTTATTTATGGTGAATGGCAAATAGGCCCACTGAGTGCTACTTATTTGCATTTTAATCCAGACAAAAAACAGTCCTACAAAAAAGTCCATCTACTTTCACTTTCCGCAAATACCCTCCCTTAAATACTAAAAAATATACAGATCCCCCCTCCCTTTTAGTTTTTGTGGATGCAACCTAAAAAATACGAAAACTGCTAGAAATTTCTCCACCGGTTTTTTTTCACCCAAATCAGTACGTTCACCGGAAATTGTAGAAAAATCACTCCAATTTTCGAAAATATACTCTTATCTTGTTGATTGTTGAGCGATTTCGGCTACATCGTTCAAAGTTACTGTCAAATCCGCAAAAAATACAGTCGAACTCTGCGAAACCCTAATCGTACGAACTTTGTGAGTTTTTTCTAACAGTATACTATACAAATGTTTGTTTTATGACATAAATCCTGCTATTGTGTATGTTTTTTCATTATTAGGGCTCAATTTTCTGCATTGGCAGTAATTTTTGCCTAGATGCATCTAACAGTGATTTATGTGCCTTATTTTCGGGAATTTGACAGTGATTTTGTTATACACAAGCCCCATGTTTGAAAAAACAGTTAC